CCCGTTGGCAGACTCGGGGTCTGACTCTGACGACTCGCTGCCCCTGGAGACTCTTCTGAACGAGCTCCTGGAGAAGTGGGAGCGAGAAGAAGCGGCAGGAGAGAGGGAAAGCGAGGTACACAGCCCGTTATCTCTCCCTCCACGAGACGAAGAGTTAGAGCCAGCACCTACTCCTCCAGACAGCGATGTCAGTGACGAGGAGCACAGTGAACCTCTCCCCACGGCACTGTCCGAAGAGGCAGACACGTCTGCGGTTTGCATCTCCGTGCCTGCCGTGGATGAGGCTGACACAGCATGGATGGATGCTGGCTCTGCCCCGGCTGCCCCTTCCCAGGATGAGCTCTGCAGAGCTGAGGCACCGGCAGGGGATTGCCCACTGCCTGCCCAGCCCCTGGCACGCAGCGCTCCTGCTTGCCCCGCCGGCAGCGCAGCCGTCCCGCAGCCCCTGGCCCCACGGCGATGGCGCTCCATCGCCAAGACGGCCCGGCGGGCTCTGCGACGGCTCTTCTCCTTCAGCTGCCTCAGGGGGCAGCGAGAGGACTGAGCCCAGTGCCAGGACGATGCCCAAAGATGCTGGCTCAGCCCTTGGACACTCAGCTCTCAAGGGCAGAGGCACGTCCGGGAAGCAACAGCACCAATGGGAGTCACACACGGGATGCACCAATGGATGGATGGATGGTGCCCGAGGCAACCACTTGCCAAAGGTAGGTCCTGCTGCCTTCTCCAGCCCCTCACCCCCTGCCACCAGCATGGCAGCCTGGTCAGGGAGAGCTGCCTGAGGGAGGATGCCAGCGCTGCCTTGTAGAATCCCGCAGAAGCTGACTTTAGGCCCGGGTTGCACTGTGGGGATGCATCCCCACCCTGCCCACAGGCAGGCTGGGTTCAGAGCTGAGAAATGCTCCTTGGGCCTTATCATTGCAGGTAAATGAAGGCTGATCTTCCTTTCTCAGGGCAAAGAAGAAAACGCTTCCCTGGATTCCCGCAACGTGGACTGGAGAAGGGTGTTAAGCCCAGATGAATGACCCATGCTGCTCATGTCCACAAGAACCACATGGGCCCCAGCACAGAGAAGCACTGATGGGATGCTACTGGAGCCAATCATCCTGGATTGTCTCCTGTTTGATGGTTTTCCCACCTCACTCCAGCTCATGTCATGTCTTATGACCAGCAATCTTCTCCGTCCCACACCGCAGTGTACCCCATCTCCCCTTTTCACCGTTTTCTTTCCCATCCCTTTCCTTCTGCCCCACAGTTATTGTTAAATAAATTCCCCATTATTAATTTTGGTAGATTGTCTCCTTGGCACCTTAATTCTCACACAGAGGCATCTCATTAAGTGCACCTTCACAGGGGCACACATCTGCACACAGCACTCGAGGTGTGGCTTTCTCAGTTCCCAGCACAAAGGGGCAATCACTGCCCTGATCCTGCTGGCTGCACTATGGTTGACACAGAATACCACTATGCCCCTGGAATTTTCCTGACAAAAATTCCATCCTCCCCCACGCCAACTAGGATATAAACAGTAGACATTTTCCTTGGCCTTCCTTTGTTATTAATTATTTTCAAAAAACACACACTTTATGGTCTTCCACAGTAGTGACTAGTAGAAGTTCAAACTGAGCTTGTGCCTTTCTGATGATCTTTGCACCTGAGATGGGGGCTGAGGCCTAGGACACAGGGTGGGCTGTGTGGGAAAGGCTCTTTGGCACTGCACAGGGCATCTTTGGGGTCATTTAGGGGAGAAGCACAAAGTGGAACAAGAGAGAGCTGTAGGTGATAGAGAAAAGGCCTTTATGACCTGGGGTGGCTACATGCAAACCACCAGGCCTCTTGGATAAGGTGCGGCCGCGCCCATTGGGCCTTTGTGACCCGCAGTGACATCGTGCCCAGAGGCCATTGTGATGCAGGTCCACGCAGTGACTGTGTGGGTAACAAATCCCTGCAGTGGCCACTCTCAGGAGAGCAGCTCTCTGAGGAGGCAGCAGCTTCTCTGGAGGCAGCAGCTCCCCTGGGTGATTGTGGCCAGTGTTCATCAGAGCACTCCCACAATGTCAAAGAAGCAGGAGGCAAATGCCCACGACCAGCCCCGTGAGGGGCAGCCACTGCTGTACCTGCGGCGACAGGTGAGGGCCGGGGATGGGGGGAGAGGCTGCAGTGGGACCTGGGGGAAGCCCTGGGGCACAGACAGCCAGGCCTGGCACCGGTCCTGGATCTGCGGAAGGGCCGGTGCTGGGATGGCCCCGGCACAGCAATGTCCCAGAGACAGTGAGCACAGCTGGGATCCCAGCCCAGCCTGGCTGCTGAGGCCATGAGCTGCCTTGAGGCCAGGCCTGTGTTTGCTGACACGTGGGGGACACCGTGCCCACACAGCCGCCTCCATCCCACTCCTCCTCCTGCTTCCCACAGGTGAGCCACAGGCAGCCAGAGGCAGCAGCACGGGTCACCTGGACGACCATCACATCCATCCCTGGGGACAGGCCGACTCTGTTGCCCAAACCCATCCGGTGCCAGAGCCCCACCAGGTCCTGCTCTCGCAGGCGCAGGCAGGAGGGCGGGCACTCAGTGCCCCACAGCAGTGTCACACGGCCACAGAGATTGTCGGTGTGTGACTTGCCGCCTCTCCATGGCCCTCACTTGACACTGGCACCTCCAAGCCAGCTCAGTGGTCACAGCTCAGGAGTGTCCACTGAGAGCGTGAACCTGCCCCCTCTGGCTGCAGCAGCAGCAGCAGCAGCAGCCACCTCTGGATCCTGTTCCAGAGGCACAGCACATGCTGTGGGAGCAGCCTGTGCCAGTGTCAAGCTGCCCCCTCTGCCAGCAGCAGCAGCAGCAGGAGCCTCTGTGTCTTTTTCCAGAGGCACAGCACTGTGTGCTGCAGGCCCCATGGCCAGGGGTCAGAGAGAGCCTGTGCCACCTTCTCCATGGGGCCCTGTGGCTGCAGGCAGAGCCCAGGGAACACCTTCCCTGGAGAGCAGAAAGGCAGGGCTCTGGCATGGGTCAGCGGCAAGGCAGGGCCATGGCCTGCGTCCTGTGCAAGCCGCACGCGGCCTGCCGCTCCGCACTGGGACCCAGCCGGCTCCTGGGAAGCACCTGGGGCACTCTGGGACACAGGAGCTTGTTGAGGTGCAGGAAGGGAAGGGTGGCAACATCTACAGCGGACTTTTTGGAGGCCTGAGCCCATCCCTGTCAGAAGACAGGTTCATCATGTCCACCTGCACCCAGGAGCAGCCATGTGCCCAGCAAGAGGTGGATGCAGAGCCCCAGGAGCTGTCCGGTGCATCCAGAGGCTCCGCAGAAGAGACAGGAACATACTCTGAGCTCCTGTCTGCTGGCCAGTTGGCAGAGCAGAGCTCTGTCTCTGAAAACTCCCAGCCCTGGGACTCTTCCCTAACGGAGCTAGAGGAAAAGCGGGAGGAGGAAGAGCTCCCAGCAACAAAGGCTGAAGGAGAGCGGGACAGCTCCCTGCAGAGTGTCGTCACTTGCCCCGTTGAATGACAACGAGGTAGAGGCAGAGGCTTCTGCCCTGGCTGGAGATCCCTGGGATGAGGGGCACAGCAAGGTCTTCCTCACATCAGAGCCTGAGGAAACCTCAGGCTTCTCAGCTTCTCCTTCGTGTGGAGGTCCCTGTGAGGTGAGGGCAATTTGTCGGCCAGCTGAGCACGCTGCACTTCACAAGCAGCTGTGCCTGGGCCCTGACACTTTGCTGCACCTCATGCGGAAAAAGAGAGAGGAGCTGGAGAAGCTGGAGGAAGACAAAATGTATGCAGAGCTGTTTGGAGACATCTTCTCCTCCACGGACAATGAAGAAAGCTCCATGATGTCCAGCTGTGTCCTCAGGGATCCATCAAGTCCCACCCTGGAACCAGCTGCAGAGCCCTGGGTGCCGCAGAGCGCTTGCAGAGTGACTGGAGGCGCCGCAGCGGAGACACAAAACTCCTCAGAGCTTGTGTCTCCTGTCCCGTTGGCAGACTCGGGGTCTGACTCTGACGACTCGCTGCCCCTGGAGACTCTTCTGAACGAGCTCCTGGAGAAGTGGGAGCGAGAAGAAGCGGCAGGAGAGAGGGAAAGCGAGGTACACAGCCCGTTATCTCTCCCTCCACGAGACGAAGAGTTAGAGCCAGCACCTACTCCTCCAGACAGCGATGTCAGTGACGAGGAGCACAGTGAACCTCTCCCCACGGCACTGTCCGAAGAGGCAGACACGTCTGCGGTTTGCATCTCCGTGCCTGCCGTGGATGAGGCTGACACAGCATGGATGGATGCTGGCTCTGCCCCGGCTGCCCCTTCCCAGGATGAGCTCTGCAGAGCTGAGGCACCGGCAGGGGATTGCCCACTGCCTGCCCAGCCCCTGGCACGCAGCGCTCCTGCTTGCCCCGCCGGCAGCGCAGCCGTCCCGCAGCCCCTGGCCCCACGGCGATGGCGCTCCATCGCCAAGACGGCCCGGCGGGCTCTGCGACGGCTCTTCTCCTTCAGCTGCCTCAGGGGGCAGCGAGAGGACTGAGCCCAGTGCCAGGACGATGCCCAAAGATGCTGGCTCAGCCCTTGGACACTCAGCTCTCAAGGGCAGAGGCACGTCCGGGAAGCAACAGCACCAATGGGAGTCACACACGGGATGCACCAGTGGATGGATGGATGGTGCCCGAGGCAACCACTTGCCAAAGGTAGGTCCTGCTGCCTTCTCCAGCCCCTCACCCCCTGCCACCAGCATGGCAGCCTGGTCAGGGAGAGCTGCCTGAGGGAGGATGCCAGCGCTGCCTTGTAGAATCCCGCAGAAGCTGACTTTAGGCCCGGGTTGCACTGTGGGGATGCATCCCCACCCTGCCCACAGGCAGGCTGGGTTCAGAGCTGAGAAATGCTCCTTGGGCCTTATCATTGCAGGTAAATGAAGGCTGATCTTCCTTTCTCAGGGCAAAGAAGAAAACGCTTCCCTGGATTCCCGCAACGTGGACTGGAGAAGGGTGTTAAGCCCAGATGAATGACCCATGCTGCTCATGTCCACAAGAACCACATGGGCCCCAGCACAGAGAAGCACTGATGGGATGCTACTGGAGCCAATCATCCTGGATTGTCTCCTGTTTGATGGTTTTCCCACCTCACTCCAGCTCATGTCATGTCTTATGACCAGCAATCTTCTCCGTCCCACACCGCAGTGTACCCCATCTCCCCTTTTCACCGTTTTCTTTCCCATCCCTTTCCTTCTGCCCCACAGTTATTGTTAAATAAATTCCCCATTATTAATTTTGGTAGATTGTCTCCTTGGCACCTTAATTCTCACACAGACTTTTCTCACTGATCACACCTTACCAGGGGCAGACATCTGCACACAGCACTTGAGGTGTGGCCTCCCCAGTGCCCAGCACAGATGGACAATCACCGCTCTCGTCCTGTTGGCCACACTATTGCTGACACAGAAGGCCAGGATGTCAGCAACCTCCTTACCCACCTGGGCCCACATCAGCTCACGTCTGGCCACTGTTGGCCAGCACCCCCAGGGCCTTTCCCACTGGGCATCTTTCCAGCCACTCTGCCCCAGTCTGGTGCATTGCAGGAGCTTATGGTTACACAAAGGCAAGATTTAGGCCTTGCTTATCTTTAACCTCATCTCACTGGCCTCTTTTTTCTTAACCTTTGAGCATATGGCTGGGTAAAGCTGCGTAATTAGCAGAACAATCATCCAGGTAGTGCCTCACATTTCTTCCTTTTTTAAAAATTCATTTTAACAGATGTGACAATATGTTCTGTCTTGATGCAGGCAAAATTTAAGCAATTAAAACCGAGGGGCAAACAGCAACAAGTGGTGAGGGACTGGGGAATGTACAGCATCTTACAGACTTCAGACAGGAGCCAACAGCATCTGGGGAAGCTCAAAGTCTGCAATAAGATGCTGAGAAATACTATATACAGTGCTGCTAAATTACTACAAGCCTCAGAGAAGTATGGAATTACTGATGGAAATTCAGAAATTGAACAAGCTGTAGGTTTAAGTCTTTTTGAGCCTTTGAGCAGAGTTTTTCATAGCAGCAAAGTCCTGCATGCAAGCTGCCAGTATGAAAATTTCATGCTGAAATGTAAATTCCCTGAATGGGAAGCATCTGGTGAGGCCTGGGGACTGGCTCTGGTGGCTTTCTCTCCCAGTTATACAGAAAACTGGAGATGATCCAATGGTTGGAGCATCCATGCAAGCTATGGGCTCTGTTCCTGGCTGCTGGTGCTAACCTCAGCCTGCTGTTTTTCCTCCAGACCCTCATGAAGGGCCAGGGATCACAGCCTCAAGACATAAGATTAGCTATGAGATGTTAAATGGGACCCTGTAATTAACTTAATTACCTCCAGCTCTCTGATCACTGGAGAGAAGTAGAGATTAAATTAATCATCTTAGTGTCTACTACTCCTTACCCTCTGAAGGTATCTATAGCAGCTGCTCTACTTAAAGTGGAGAAATTTAGATTAAATGTTAGGAAGGAATTATTTTTTTTGAGGGTAATGAGGCCCTGGCACAGGTTGCTCGGAGAAGCTGTGGCTGCCCCATCCCTGGAAATGTTCAAGGCCAAGTTGGATGGGGCTTGGAGCAACCTGGGATAGTGGAAGGTGTCTCTGTCCATAGCAGGGGATTGGAATGAGATGAGCTTTATGATCTTTTTAAAGGATCTTAAAATCTTTTCTCTAAGTCTTTTTAAAATGAATCCCAAGACATTCTGTGACTCTATAAACTACTTCCGATAGATACCTAAATTTGAATGTGAGGTGTCTGAGCCTGAAATCAGTAGGAATTAAACCCTAAAAAAACTTTGAAGGTCACTCACTTTGTCTAATTTTTCATATTTGTGATGAGCCTGCGTTTTCTTATCTCTGAGAATTGTGCACTGTATTATAGACTGCAATCAGGCACTGGGATGCCTGCACTTGCAAGATGATAGTACAAAAAGCATCCTTCTTTTCCTTGTTACTGATTCAGTCCATTCAGGTGACAACTTACCCAGATAGACCTCATCCATCCCTTACCTGACCATTTTTTTGCCTGATCTCCCTCCTCATCCGTGGGTAATTGTGACTCTCCAATGATCTTACAGCAACAACTATGGAGATTGATATTTTGGCAGTGTTACTGTCAGATTTATATCATCTGAGAAATATTTCTCTGGAACAAATGAAAATAAACATGACTTGGGAAAAGAAACAAACAGCTTAACTTTGACTTTTGTTTTAGAATCACTTCTCAGCTCTACTGCATAAATAGAGTCTGTCAGAATGACTACTTATTTATATTCCTGTCAAGATGAGTATAGCAGGACAGTCAGAAACTGCAAAGTAAATCCCAGGAATGGTGATCATCCTTCAGCTCCAATTTTAAACATCTCATTCTGTATAGTAAGAAAAAAAACCCCTAACATTAAGCAGGTGCATTTTAATGTAACTTGATAGTTAAGCTGAGCTAGAATACAGTTAAACAAGTTGTGGGTTGTCATTTCTTCCTCTTTTTTGCATAACAGCTTCCGTTATGCCATTTATTATCATTCTTGCTAGCAATCCTCTTTCCCTGATTTATCCCATGTTGCAGTCCATCTGGTGCCTTAAACTCCAGCTTAAGTTTTTATTAAAAAAAAACCAAACACCTAAAAAAAAGTTTCAGCGCTCATTCAGCAAAATTTGCTGGAAGTATTTATTGGTTCTTTCTACTTGGAAAACCCAAACCAGTATGGACCAATTTCTCATTTTATCGTGATGGATACGTATATATTTCAGTCCTATTGGTGGATGTGTATGCAGTGCATCTAATGCTCATTCATATCAGCAATATATACACACACACACATTGCTATTCCAATAATAAAACATATAAGTCATTCCAGGTTATTATAAGTGGACCCAGAAAACCAATATATCATTTTGGTCTTTTGAGGTTTTCAGCTATAAATTTCTGAGTTGTCTGACATGAACTTCTGCTGTTATTTCCCAGGAGAAATTAACTGGGAATATTTTGGCCCAAGTGAGCCTAAAATGCACTTGGTCCATGTTAAAGATATCTGGAAAAGCTTTGTTGGAAAAGTTGAGATATCTTTACTGGAAAAGAGATGCATATTCTTATCAAATTTAGTGTAGTTCTAATGATATTCTTTGTGTTTGCATAACAAGAACAAAAATATACACCCTGTCATTGAAGAAATCTGGGTGCTTCCTATGTCTAAATTCTCTGATGGATATCATAGAAGAGTCCTTTACCCATCACTGATTTTCCTTCAGCAGCTGTTGCAGAAAGTGTTGCCCCTGGGAAGTTAATTTTTTATATAGCTAACAACCATGTAATAGGAGATGTGTGTCAGCAGGGTCCAGATACACATCACTAGTCTCCTTGTAATCCGGAAATCTTTAAATCATCACTCTCTAATGAAACAAGAAATGTGTATTCTAAATTCATAAAGATTTATAAACATTCATTGCTGCCAACTGACAGATTTATGCATCACCTGCAGTTCTCTCATTCTTCAGCTCTGTCCTATGAGCTGTGGGAAAATGATGTTCCAGCACCACTATGCAGGGCTGAGAAATCTGCAAAAGGTCAGGTTACAGAGACTGAGGGAACTGGATTACTAAGAATGAACCACAAAGGAAGAACAAGCCACCTAAACTGATAAATCATGAGACAAAAGAATTGCACAGAAGCTTGCCTCGTGGATGGCTTTTTTGCCTGGTGTTTGACAGGGTAGTCACTGGATGCCTTTATTCTAGGGCAGAGGTACAGCTGCGTGGCACTGGAGCAGTGCACAGTGTTCTGACTTTCGAACAGTCAGTGCAAGACAAAAGGACTGTCAGAAAATCATTTTCTTCCTTCTGTAAGGATCTGACATTTCATTACAGAAAGCAATGCCTTCTGCCCACACACAGCATGTAAACCTCTTAAAATTGTTCTTTGGGCTGTTAGTATTCACTCTATAAACTGGAAGCATTTCCATTAAATTTCACTTTTCTAATACATCAGGCTCAGTATAATTCACAAATCAAAGGTCTGTTTTACCACTGGAATTCACCCTGATAGCCCAATATTGACTCCACTTATCTGTGTTGGACTAAAACGACATCAAAGTTTGATGTGACAAATGAAGAATCCATCACTTCATGCAGGGAATTAGCTACAGTCTAATCATCTTCAGTCTTACAAAAAGTGATTACTAACTTCCAATAGAAAATGGTGTGGGTTTAGCTTCCAGCCATTGGGGTTTGATCTGCATTCCTTCTCCAAACTGAAGAGCCCTAGTTGCATTTAATATTTCCCCTCCACAAATTGATTTTCTATAATCAAAACACTTTTGATTCCTGTCTTATAACACAATAAAATATTTGGTGTCCTGTACATTATCCAAACTTCTCTCTTTCTCTTAACAGAATCTTAAATCATGCATCTGGCCAGATGTGGAAATGAAAGCACCTCGCAGCATAGCTATGGATTGCAGAGTGTTATTCTCCTAAAAGCCTGTGCAGATGTGCTGATGCCATGGGATCAGGGCTCATATTCAGCAAGCATCAGCCCCTTTATTTCTGGGCAGATGGTTGTGTCTGGCTCTGCTGGAATGTGTCGCTTGCACAGTCCTGTCTCAGCCAGTGCTCCTCATTGCTCTGAATCCAGACATGAATCCATCTGTTGGAGTAAGGAAATGGGGACAGTGATGTGGCCACTTCACAGTTACACTCAGGAAATTGCTCTGCACCAGCGTTAATTAATGAGTCATGGAAGAAATAAAATCTTTTTCAGTCTCTCCCTTAATCCCACTCCTGTCTCTTCATCATCTGCCAAAATTGTTTTTGTTTGTAAACAACAGCAACAATGATGAAGTTTGGTGTATTACACAATTAGGTGTGAAAGCAGGTCTGGTTGAGATCTGTGCAGGGTTTGCTGTTTGTGTTGATATCCCTAAATGTAAACTGTCTTCAGTTTATATGTCTTCAGTGCACAGGGATAGTCTTGCCCAGATATGAGGCTCTACGGCACTGAGTGCCCCATGCAAACCTTATTTTGCCAGGTCTGCACAGATGATTTAGCCAAGAATGTGAAGACCTGGACAAAAACTGTACTAACGAGTACACAGTGTTTGAGTAACACCCTGTGAACCAGGTGATTGTTGTCACTCCCACCATACAGCTCAAGAAACTGGCACATTCATATAAAGAAATGGCAACACCTACATGGGGCTGAGTTCATAAACGAAATTTGGTTTCCTAATTTCCACAATGTCCCTTCTCATAAGTC